CACACACACACACACACACACACACACAATCTTGGCTTCAGAAAATGTTTGTTCTCTCGAATGAAGGACACTTTGTTCGGTATTCTGAGCTGTTAAACTACCACCCAATTTTAGTTGCCAGCTCCCGCGTCTGGGGCAGTATCCCAAGTAAACCTGATCCGGGACCGTTTCAATTTGCAAACCCCACTGAACCTGCATCAGGCCTGTTTTCTGATACAGTTGCGGCCTAGGGGTAACCACCAATCGCGGATTTTCTTGGTGATGCAGAAGAGGCCCTGTTTAAGGCCGCATAACCTCCAACAGTCTCCTGTTGCGAGGAGGCTCGCACCTTCGTTCAGGTGAACTGTTGGATTGGTGCTTGACAAGTTTCACAGGTCTCCTTTTTCTTCTGCCAGCTGTGGCAGTGCATGTGCCTTGCTTCAGATATTGTGGTTGTGAAAAGCCACATCTCTCCCTCGTACTCATGACCAAACACCAATGTGAATGTCTGTGAAATCTGAATGCCATGACTCCTGCTAATCTAAGTGGAAGCAGGAGAACAGTGGGAACATGGAGAGATGGGAGCTAACGGTATATGAGCACAGGCGGCCAGAGACTTGCAATCAGACTTGACTTCTTCGACCATCAGCATGTGTACAAACAGATGATGATCAAGCTGGCGACTTGCGCCCACACAAAGCTCAGAGATAACGTAGCCAATAACACAGTTCAGATTCAAACTTGTCGCGGACAGCTATGCCGCATGTGCGCCAGGCAAAGATTCTCCCCGATCAACTGTATCCTCAGCAATTTGTTCACACGCACACAACTCTGGATCTCCCTGGATGTCCCGCGCTCACACACACAACACACGTACACACAACTCCTATCGGGTAGCTATGGCTGCCATCTACATCAACTACTAACACCAGCGGCTATGGCTACGTCTTCCTCCTCTTAGCCCACTTCCTCTTCGGACACCTGCAGACCTTTGTACACAAGACGCTCTGGCAGCGCTTCCGCACAGCTCACAGGCAGAATGAATGCATGACTTGACGCTGCCTCTTTATTACTTCGGATGATCGTAGGTTTGCCTCTTGACCCTGGGCCCGGGGTGCACACAGTCCCGCATGGTACTTGCTGACATGAAGGCTAGGTAGGACTAGGACTGCCCTTTGCTGACTGTGCTAGGACTGCCCTCTGCTGACTCAGACACGGACTGACCCTAAGACTCCACGAAAGGCCACTTCCGGAAGTTCCGGAAGGTTGCAGACTTGACCTTTCGGGACTGTAGCAGCTACGACGTTGACGCTTCGACACTGTAGCACCTACGACTCCTACCACTGCTAAGACTTCTAATCTACAGACCTACGGTTCAAGACTCGATGACTACAACAGGCAAACAGGCGACTTTCAAAACACAGGTCGCGGGTTCAAGCACCCACGGGTCAACTAGGGATCGAGCCCTGGGAGCTGCATCTGCTACCGTAAAGGTGAAAACCGTTTCAGACTAGAGAAGTGGCGTGGAACAAGCAGAAAAAAGGATGAAAAAGAGGACACAGTGGCAACAAGCTTGGAACCTGCGGAATGGAGAATGAAAGAGCGAAAAAGGTTGACACAATTTGTCTGCTGATCTAAGAAAAAAAAGTTGGACAGTGCGTAGGAAACACACAAGGGCACTGAAATGTGTCTGCTAATGTACATGGAAGTGGGAGAATGGTACGAGTGTGCCAAGTTGGGAGTTTTAACCACCGGTTCACATTAGCCTAGGTTGACAAAGCGACCTTCGAAGGCTTGCAAACCTCCAACGGCGCCTTTTCAAACTGGCCTACTGCATTCGCTCACGGCCCAGGCCCGAACTGAAAACTCTTACCACGGAAACTGGTAAAAGTCATACTCTGCTTCGGGTGAAGTGGCAGTTTGATGGCACGTAATGACAGTCAGGCGGAAGCAGTCACACTCCTCCACTCTATGCTCACCACTTGAGGGCACTAACCATGAACAGCCCAAAAGCAAAATGTGACAGAGATCCCACCCAGGCACTGTCTATGCAAATGATGACCCACCACCCAGTTCTGCTAGCACCTCATTTTACTGGATCACTTCATAATGGACCCAATGCATGCCTAGGATCTTCACCTCCTTTCAAAGAAAACGGCGACCGCCTCGAGATATCATCATTGAACTGACCAGCCGCCCTATTTTCTGTACAGTCGGCCGCCCTAAGTGAAGGCAGGCTCGACCCAGGGCCTACGGGTCTATTTTGGGGTCATCACGCAACTGGGTAAATTCAGGCAGTTGCGCAGCGCCAGTTGGTTAAGAGCGCCCAGGCCCAGGCTGCCTCTTTTCGAATGTACTGAGGCAGGCCCTGGGCCAGAATCGCAACATGGGCCAAACACAGGCCGCGGATAGTTGGACATGGACAACCACCACAGGCCCAGGGCCTGTTTTGTCTGGACTGGGGCTCAGCCTCTCTGGGCCTACCGGAAGCTTCTGGGCAGGGGCCCAGCGCAGCCAAGCTGCAAGCAAGCAGGCAGGCCACTTCCATTTAGGAAAGTGCCTGCCCACGCATTCGGCATTCGGGCACTGGCTGCATGCTGCGCTAACGCTGGCCAGCACTCACGCGCTCACGGGCGAGCTGGAAAGAGCAGGCAGCCATAGCCATAGCCGAGCTGCGCTGCTGTAAGCTGGATGGGGCGCATGGTGGTTCTTGGGTGCATGTGGCATCTGTGAGTTGGGGATCGAGGTTGTGAATGATACGAGAGACATACCTGGCGTTTGAGGCGAACGGCATTGGCCGAGATCTGCTCGTACTTCGGGGAGCTGTTGACGTCGTCAGCGGCGTTGTAGATAGGCTAGATAGGATTTGCCATTTGTAGTCTGGGCGCCGAGCGCCAGATAGGATATCGACATTGGTTCTTCGTTGATGATGATGAGACTATTCCAGCATTGCAATTGTGATGCAATTCTGCTATTGGTTCGAGGTCACGACTATCTGGTCACATGTGTATGATGCTGTTTGATTTCTGAAGTTGGCTATCACTCATTTTCCTTGCACAGGTAATTCCGAATGACATTTGTTTCTGTTTGTAATCACCCGCCAAAACACAGACTGAGAACGCTGCTGATTTCTGGGTTTTGCAGCTGATGTGCCTTGCTGAGATTCCCATGTTGTGCTGAGTTTCCTAAGTCTATGTGTGTGTGCGTGCTTGCTGGTCCGTGTGCCTGTCTAAGTGCACGTCTGCCTGAGTGTGTGTGAGGCCCGACAGGGCACTAGTGCATTGTGAGGCGAAAAATCTCACCAGTCTTGCTCTTCGAGCCTTTGATTTTATCATTTTAGAGAATTGCAAGGTACAACAATTGAGACACAAATTTATCAACATTTGTATGATACATGGGAAAAGAACAAAATCTCGTGCTATTGTTTATAAAACGTACTATTGTCTAGCTAATGAGAACCTTGTCAATGAATGTAATCACGCATTTTGTTAATGCGATTGAAAATGTCAAACCTTGGGGCCGGTACTTACCTGTGGCTGTGACTTTGAGGGTTGCAGCCAGGGCTGCACCCCCCGACGGTCGGCAGCCGTTGACTGGTCGGCTGCTGACCCGCCGACCGACCCCTACACTCCAACCCCAACCCCCCCATCCCCAAAAGTTTCTCAGCGGATTTGGGCTGTACTCAGCAAGAGCAGTACAGCCCCCAACTTAGATTTGAAGAAAAATCAGTGGATGGTTGTTTTCTGACTGGTCGGCAGACCGCCGACCGGTCAGCCCTACTGGTCGGCTGCAATACGGTTGGCAGTCAAGGTCCGTGGTCACCAGGGATTCAACCCTGGTGGCAGTGTATATTTCCATGTTCTGGCTGAAGATTCATTCCGATTTTGCTCATCCAACACACACACACACACACACACACACACACACACACACACACACACACACACACACAGACCAATATTGACACTCTTCGTGCTGTGTATAGACAGGAGCAGGGCGCGGCTTCGCCGCGCTGGGTCCACTTGTTTTTCTAAAGGCTAATTCTTAAAGCCCAACCAATTCAATTACCTGTTGAATCTGGACAGGACGGCCTTTCAGACCTTTTTATTGTCATTAATTATAGTATTACGGGGAACCCCGTAGCAGCCACATCTGTGCTCAAACCTCCAACAAGGGAACATCCGGGAGCTGCACCCACCAGCTGGTGCGATACCTGCTACAGCAAGTGGGCGATACCGGCCAGGGGTCAGCCGGTAGCATCAGGACCGAGCTTCTTCAATGGGCCAGTCACTGTGCCTCCCCTCCGGTCTCCTTCCCCTATGAGCATCAGCACTCTCTGCTCAATGCCACTCGGGAGCGAACCAACGTCATATCTCTAGGTGCTGGGCGCCAAGCTTGCCCAGGAAGGTGAGGCCAATGGGGATTGAACCCAAGACCTCCTGAATGCCACTTGTGTGCCTTACCAGCTGAGCTACGCCGCTGGATTATGATGTCTTTTCTTTTTTCTTTTTTTTTTCTTTTTTTTTTTTTAAACAGGACCTTATGGGCCTGGCTCCATTCTATTCTGGGGAGCGTCAGTCCGGTTCCTATTCCACCGGCAAGTCAAAAGGGTATTACATCAAGATAACTCACTCACGCTTCCTTCCGTCCGGCCGAAGGACCCTTATGACGTCTTTTCTATGATGCTGTTCACAGGAAATACCCCTTTGTCCGGAAATTTTTTATTTTGCTTGTTGAGCCTTGTTCATGTTATTCACTAGATTTGGTTGTGCTTTAGCTACTTGCTAGTAGTTGCTACCTGTTCCAGGGCACTTGGAAGCTCTTGGCCATGCTTGAGAGGCTGGCCATTTGGTCATGGACAAAGTAGCTAGATGGGAGTGCAGTCAGAACGAGGGCTCAGCCCTCATATGTCAGTGCTTACTGATGCCCATCCTCGCCAATTCTTTTGGAGTAAAGACACATGAGCGGCTAAATGGTATGGTCAGGATAAAGGCCAGGAAGGCCTAGGTGTGCTGGTACGGAGCCAAATACAAATGCCTCCGACCTGCACCAAAATCCCTGGCAGACAGCCATAACCATGGATTGCGAACCTGAATACAAAGTATGGACCACATGCAAGGACATGGAAATCGCCGCTAAATTAGCACAATTTAGCAGCAATTGAACAGTGGCCTAAAAAGGTTAGCCTATGGGGGGCCAGGCCTTATATTATTCCGGACAGGTGACCGGCAGAGGCGAGCCAAATAACCGAAACAGAGCCTTGCTGTGGGACCCTATATTACTCTGGGTAGGTGGCAAGCACTAGCTGGCAGAATCGCAGAATGAAGCAGTCATATCTTCGTGGGTTTGCAGTAGTGATATGTGCAAGTGTGTGCAAGCGTGTGTGTGTTGTCGTATTCATTATACTCTACAAAAAAGCATGACCGTGCCAGACTGTTTCATCGGACTTTCGCCGACTCATCAGGAGTGTGTGTGTGCGTGTGTCTGCGCGTGTGTGTTTCTGTGTGTGTGTGTGTGTGTGTGTGTGTGTGTGTGTGTGTGTGTGTGTGTGTTCAAGGGAGGGGATAAAGCGGGCAGGGAAATGGCAGATTGATGTCAGAGCCCTATCAGAAAAGAGTAAGGGTGTATAGAAAGATTGTCAGTCTTTGTGATGCTCCAATGAATTCCTGCAGATTTGCTCCTGCCAGGATGTGATCCCATAACTGGCTGGTGAGAGTCTGATGCGTTAACCTGCTGGGCTGGGCACCCGCCATCCCGTGAATTCCTGACATGACGAAAGTTTCGATTGCTTGTCACTCAGCATCACACTGACCAGGTGTTCCTTTTTTATGAGCAAGCCGTGCCAGTACCTGCCTTTTGGGTACTGGTACACACATCTTACTGTTTACAACCAGAACATGAGTTGTGTTTTGCATTGAATGACTCCGAGCTAAATACGACCATTGAGTAGACTTGCTGAATGAGCAAAATTTATGTGAAGATGAAGTAGCAGGTGCTTGAGCGTTTGACAAACTAACACCATCCATTTCAAAAATAACTCTTGATGGATTAGGGGCTATCCTCCTTTACCCCCTTAAGAACAAAAGGGGGGGAGAAAAGCCACAGCCACATGGACTTCGACTGAAACATGAGAAAGCAATTGACTATCTTTTGGACGATTTCACACAGCGCTTGCATCATCCATTCAGAATCCGTAGAACTAAATGTGCCCGACAGCTCTTGATTGAAAAAAAAACAAAAAACAAAAAACAAAAAACAAAAAACAAAAAAAAAGACGAATCTCTGTGAAGTCTGAAAGCAAGACCACACAATCAATAGCAATCATGTGCAGCTTTAGCTGTTCAGCAATACCCTGCCACTCCCCTCCTTTTTTTGTGTGTGTGGTCCAATGGACCAAGGGTCAGATATTAAACTGATCAGAACCGTACTCCACTTGTTCTGTTTTTACTACTTTTTAGTCAAAAGGCCGCTCCCCTTCAAAATTGAGTAGGGAAATAATAGTCGAATAAAGATTTTAAAATTAGTTTCCTCATTCCACTGGCAGCAAGTTTTGCCAGTTGGCCATGATGCACACCTTCCTCACTGACATGCACAGAGGGAGCGTTGTGTGGTTGGATATTGATGGCCCAGAGCAGACAGAAAGAGAGACCCAGCACATCGCAATGCTTAACGAGGCCCAGTAGAAGAGAGCAATTCATAGACAGCATCCACAATCATTTCAATGACTTGGCTAATGATGTATCTTTCTTCCAAACTCAGCGCTGACCAATGTTGAGTGGCTGAATGGTACACACATGCAACTGTCCGTAAAAAGTACTAAAAAGAGATAAAAAAGGTTGTGTGATTGGAAAGTGACGATTCAGAACTTCAGAGCGATGACAGGAGTTCGGATCAACCCCGCGGGGAAAGGCTCAACCCTGAGGAGAAAGGATCGACCCATAACACTTAGTGCAGCTTATAGTCTTAGCTAGTAGAGAGTTAGGGCTTAGTGTAGCTAGCCTTAGCGTAGTCTTCGACCCTAAAACATGTAGTTGTCCATCGAACGTGGAGCTGGGTTCGTTGCTCATTGGGTTGCCGTGCCCCTTGCAGGTCCGGAAGGTGGGTAGACCAGTTCGAGTGCATGCGCAAGGTAGGTAATGTCAGCTTGTGAGATGAAAAAAGATATTGAGAGAAGAAAATAACATATTAAAATGCAGCTGTCCCCCATATGAGGAGACGACAGCTTGAATTCGGGAAAAAAAGAAGAGCAGCAGCGGGACAGAAAGAGAGACCCAGCACGTGGCTAAACGGTACACACATGCAACTGTTAGTAAAAAGATCGTGGGTTCGAATCCTGATCAATCAAACAAATAATAAAACGTGAAGAAATACCCCTTTCCCAAAAAAAAAAAAAAAAAAAAGACAAAAAAGAAAGAGCACCACAGCGAGGAACTGCGAGAAACCAAGAGGCAGAGAAACGGATAAGATAGTCAGACACAATAGCAAGAGAAGGAGAATGTGTGTGTGTGTGTGTGTGTGTGTGTGTGTGTGTGTGTGTGTGTGTGTGTGTGTGTGTGTGTGTGTGAGAGAGAGAGAGAGAGAGAGAGAGAGAGAGAGAGAGAGAGAGCAGTGGTAGGGGACTAAAAAAGCAGTTTCTGGGGAAAGCAGAAGTGCACCCACCTAGGCCCAGGTTACGGTATGGCTTTGCAACTCCCAAGGTGAGCACATACACAAGACTCTTCTCTGATGGAGACAATTCATATCCAAGAAGATCAGCGGCCTGCAGCACAAGCAATAGCATGCACCCGAAAAAAAGAAAAAAAGGCATGTGAGATGAGTGCAGAAGCAGGCAACGAGGGATTGAGGGTGATTTACTGTCAAGAAGACAATGAAAAGAGGGACAACAATTGTTGCTTCTACTGCACCTATCTAAACGTGCTTACAACTACCAACCAACAGTCAAGGGCAGGCGATTGGGCTAACAGCCAAGGACAGCGCAGACCATTTCTCGTTTTTTTTCCTTTTTCTTTTCCCAAACACACACACACACGCAGCATCAGTCCGGTTACTCTTCCCCGGCAAGCAAAACAAGAACAAGAGTTTATGAATACAGTTTATGTTAACGGCCCAGGGCGCTGTCTGTAGCAGCGACAGGCAATCGGGAGACTCCCATTGGTACCCAGTCACCGCCTTCCCCTGCTGACAGCCGTTCCCCTTAGCACCACTATTCCATCCTACAGTTCCCACCCCCCACCTATCTCCTAGTAATCCTCTCTTGAGTTCCATCATCTCCATTCATACACTCGATTAACTTGCATATGTAACTTTTACTTTCTCCGTATCTGCATTTCAAATTACCCTCGTTGTCACTCATCCTGTCTACTGAATTCAGAGATTCTATGCCTTATGTACTTTTTCTGTAGGCTGGGCCGCCGCCCGGCCGCGCGGGGCGGGGGGGGTCCACCCGGGAAATCCGGGCGGCCTGAAACCCAGCAAGGATTTTTTTTTGAGAGTGGAGTTTTGCTGCACTACCCCAGAGGACCCCAAATCTGAAATAAAAAAACTTGGGGGGGGGGGCGGGCGCGGGTTCAGGGGTGATTTACTGTCAAGAAGACAATGAAAAGAGGGACAACAATTGTTGCTTCTACTGACCTATGTAAACGTGCTTACGACTACCAACCAACAGTCAAGGGCAGGTGATTGGGCTAACAGCCAAGGACAGCGCAGACCATTTTCTCGTTTCTCCCCCCCCCCCCCCCCCCACAAAGACACACACACGCAGCCCCTTCTATTCTGGAGGCTGCCAGTCCAGTTACTCTTCCCGAAGAAGAAGATGGGTGGTGGGAGATGGTGGGCAAGTTGGGGGAAACGACCGCCGTGGGGGAAGGTCGAAAACGCAGCCCCACGCACAAGAACAAGGAGAAGGAGAAGGAGGAGGAGAAGAAGAGGAGAAGGCGGAAGAAGAAGAAGAAGAAGGTCTGATCCATATTCCCCCTCCCTCCCATGCCCCATTCGCCATGGCATTTTTGATGTTCCGACTTATTAATGACAACTATGATATTTCCCAGCTCCCATAGTCCTATAAACCTTTAGCCTCGTTCGCTTGTGATACAGACATTCTGTGACATTTTTCCGATCCTAAGGCCCTGCAGTCCTATAGTCCCTTGGTTTTGCTTTTTATACAGTTTCCAGTCGTATACTCCTCTACCCTCTTGCTTGCTTATGAGCCATTCCCCCTGCTGGCCTCCCCCTTATCTTCATTCCCTGTGCGCTCAGGTCTAAGGAGCGGCCCAGACACCAGCAGCCTACTTTTTGCATCCATCCGTAGCAACGCATCTCGGGGCCCCCATGTTCGTGAAAAGGTCATTTGGTCTACAGGGGTAGTTGGAGGGCACTTTCTCAGCTCTTTCTGAAAGTCTGCTTGTAGTGCAACCCTCAGGCTATCTTGGAAGTAGCCCATAACTTTGGCTAGCGCCGACACTCGTCCCCCCCTCACCGCCTCATTGTGGCAGCACCAAGTTGCCCACAAGGCTGCAGCCCTAATGATCTCCATATCCCGAATTTGGTCCTTCTCAAGATCACACACCATGCCCCGACCAAAAATCCCAGCATCACCCAAGCATTCTGCTGATGGGGCCAAAGGAGGTTATGCTGATGAGCTACTGCAGCCACTGCCTCCAGAAGGCGTCCACATGGACGCTGGAGAAAGAGGTGGCACAACGTCTATTCCTGGACCCGACATATTCCACACGTGCTGTCTTTGTGGTGGCTTCTCGCCACCAGCCACTCCAATGCAGGTATCGCTAGGTGCAGTACCAGCCACAGCAGGTCAGCTTGCCGCTGGTCTGGCAGGGTGTACACTACCGCGCAGGATCTCCTCCAGTTCTTCTCAGTGCATGTCTGCAGGCCCTCATCAGTTACCCACTCCCGCTTAGCCCATTTTGCTTTGATCTCCGGCCCCACACCATACTGCACGAGCTCTGCAAGGTACAACACCTTGGTGGTCACTTGGTCCAGCACATGTGCTCGAGGGAGGCTGCCTTGGGTGGGTAGTTACCAGTTTCTGAGATCTACCTGTAATTCCCGAGCTGTGGTGGCAATACAATATGGTCTCCGTGCTACCGGCCGCGCCCTGCCCTTATCTTTGAGCTCCGCAACTGCATATATGCCATCGTGAAGAAGATGCCACGGGGGCCCTGGCATCGGGCGGAGCGGCTCCCCCAGGCTTAGACTGCCGTCGATTACCTGCCATGGCTTACCCTCATAGCCTGCTTGCCGATCCCATTCCAAGATCTGGTAAACTGTCACCGGTTCCGGCAGGCCTCGCACTGCTACCCATTCCCCCTTGACCCTCTCATCGTTCCTCAAGCGGTGTACCCAATGTAATGGGATCGCTTCCTGGATTGCGCGGCGGGTTTGCAATCTCGCCACTTGGCGCGGCAGGTCGGCAATCACCTCGCCATCCTCGCGCCAGGTTCCCCTTTGTGCATCCCATAGGTGTCTGACTAAGAAAACCCCTTTATTCAGCCACTGCCTTCTGAAGGCCGCGGGTGCTCCCTGCCAGGGCCATGGCCGGCCATCTTCTTCAAGCATGAGGGGGTTACCGAAGAGCGCCTGGGTCAAGATTTGATCCATCGAGGCTGGCGCTGTTGGTCGAAATCAGATGGCCCTCCAAACCGCAAGGAAGGGGGTCCACAGAGTGCCCTGCTTCAAATTGCAAAGCAGATCCGAATGCACAAGTGCCTGAAAGGCCACCTGAGGGTCCACTCGCAATACATCAGCCAGCAACTCCCTAGCAACTCTCTTCCAGTCTGCGCCATCCTCTTCCAGTAACAGCCGCAACAGGCCACACAACCCATCTGATCCTGGTTTTTGCCTCGGGGGTCACCCGACCAAAGGAAACAGACAACTGCTGTCTTAACGTCCTGCATTGGCTTCTGGTGGGCATGTGCATAACGACTACATACCACATCACTGCCAGGAGCGAATTGTTAACAAGAATTGCCCGGCCAAGGAGTCGCCGTGATGTTCGGCCCAACCATCCTCTGGCTCGCCCCACAACCGTGGCAATAAGGTAATCCAACTGGCGCTCCCCGGCCCCTTTTGCCGCCATTACGACCCCTAGCTACCTAATCCCTACCCCTTCCGGGAGTACCTCGATCCCCTGCACATCCCCCAACAACACTGTTCTGGGCAAAATGATGCACGACTTCCCCCCGTTCACCCATTCTCATGCATACAATGTAAATGTGTCCATGATTCTTCCGAGGGCTACAATATGCTCCACTGATGGCCAAAGGATTGCTCCCCTATCGGCCACAAACACTGATGATCGGATATCCTGACCCGGCATCTGCAGGCCGCCAATGTGAGGATCCGCCCGGATCATATCGTGCAGAACCTCCACATACAGAGTATACAAGGCCGGCGACATACGACACCCCTGTCTAACCAACCGGGTGGCCTCAAAGGGGACCGAATTGTACCCGTTAATTCTAATAGCTGCCCTCGCCATCGGCAACAGCTCCACAATCCACCTTACAAACACCTCCCCCATCCCCTGGGCCCTTAGTGCCTGAAGCAGGAAGGACCAGCATACTCTGTCATACAGCAACCTTTTGTTAGGAATTACTGGCAATGTGAAGCACCTGTCTTGCTGGCATCAGTGAGGAGGCAAACAAACCCAGTCCGTGAACAGGACACAATGGAGGGCGTGACGGCCGCGAAATGCATGGCAAGGATCTTCGATAGGATTTTATAGTATGCGTTGAGGACGGCTATGGGCCGCCAATTCCGAATCTCCGTCCTGTCACCCTTTTTGAATATCAAGGTGACATATGCTTCACCAAAACCCGGCAGGAAGCAGCCTTCCGCAAGTGCTTCGTTGTAGGCCACACTGCCGCCACAGCCAAGTACTCGTCAAAGATTTGCAAGAATTCTTTAAACATTTCAACCAGGATATCGTCCAAACCGGGCGACTTCCCCCTTGGCAGATCCATAATGGCCTTCCGGACCTCGGCTGCCGTGATAGGTTGCTCCAGCCCTACGTTCTGCACCTGTCAGATAGTTGCCCGAACGTGGCTCCACACAGTCTGTTGCGTCTGGCTCATCATATCTTCCGGCGATCAGTGCTGCTCCTCGGCTAACAGATAACAGTAAAATTTGTCAGCATGGGCCAGGGTCATCGGGGACAAGGTGGCAGTGGGATCATCGTCGCGAAACGGGTGCCTAAGCTCATGTATCACCACTACCTTGTGTGCCGCTTGCAACATCTGAAAACCTTCCCACATCATCCTCTACCCCTGCTGCGCCCACTTCACCGTCAACAGCCACCCAGTCCTGTTAACCTCATGGGCGAACCACTGCCGCAATTCCGCCGTCGCCAGACTTTTCTCCGCCCACCGCTCATCCTCCGACTGCCAGGCTTTTGGTCCATCCTGTAACGCTCGCATCCGTTCCAGGAATTCCCTCCCTGTTCTCTCTCATGCCAACCTTTGCGCTTCCACCCGCTGTTTTGTGTTTGAACTTTGAAACTCCATGCACATGGCCAAATACTACCGTCTCCACCCCATAATAACGCCCGGGGGTTACAAAGTAAGCGTTCCAGGGTTCTCAATGTTATCATGAGCGTCAGTTGCATCACAGCCAACGGTCAACACTGAGCACCCACCATTGAGGCAAAACTGGTTGCGCCCAAATGCTCAGCAGTTTCAAGATTGGTCAGCTTCACGTCTGCGGGGGGCACTTTCCAACTTCCAACTGAAAAACACCAAAAAGTTGGTGATGTCGAAAACCAGTTGAAAAAAAAACACCTTCAAAGTTCAAATTTCAAACCCCAAGTTCTACTCAGAGCTCATCAACAACAGAAGTGGATGCCAGCAACCTTCACAAACAAACATGTCACAATGGCCTTTAACAAATCGGACGGGAGGACATACTCTGGGAGAAGAAGGTCTGAAGCATGAGTTCTTTTTCCATGCTGGACAGCAATGTGGTTACGCCGCGATAGTAAATCTCTACAAAGTGATCGTCTTGAGTTAATCTCTCAACTCTGGGAATGCAGATGCCAGAAATGTTTCACAAACGAGCACTTCACAAACTCCTTCAACAGATAGAACAGAAGAATAGGTTGCACAACCACCGGATCGCAAACAATGGAATATGAAAAGAAACAACAGGCTCTGCCCAAAAGCACATATGAATGCAGAACATAGTCCTTTTTAGGACATTCATTATGATTGATGGAACAAGACAGCAGATTGGCATGGCCCTTGTGCAATGATCAGACTCAAAGATTGAGAAGTCGTCCGAATTCAAAACGAAAAAGAGAGAAGGAAAAACAAAAAAGAGAACATGCACCTGCCAAATTTATCCCAGAACAGTGCCGAGTGTCAATCTGAATCAAAAAACTTGCCTCGCTCTCTTTTGCTGACACAACTCGAGCAGTGACGAATCCAACAATCTTTCCTCCCTGTAATCCTGAAGCATTGAGATCGACAGCCGCCCAGGATATGATCCCTCTAGAATGAACAACGTTTAAGAAAAAATCTGACTCATACCTGTGCATATCAACACAGAGCAGACGCAATTCGTGCACAACAATCCTTCTTTAGTACACAACGAGATAAGAAAGAAACACAGTACTTCGTGCAATACAACTCTTATACGCAATTCCACCCAATAATCAGAGCACAGGACAGGGATCCACACACTGACGCCAGGCCAACCAACCAATCCTATTTGCTCATGAAAAAGTGAGCACTTTTACCGATTAGCTGGGACCCACTCTCTTTACCAATCGCTCTGTGTCACCCAACACAGTGCCCCCTCTTTCCTCAAACCGAATGAAGAAACGATCAAGTTCAGATTCACTTTATGCCAAAGGACCTCTGCACATATGTTTGTTTGTGCATTATCCTCCAGGGTCCTTATTCTGGTGGCGACACTGATGCATCTACCTGATCCTTTCCTGCTCCACGGCTGTGGGGTGCGCAAATAAGGACGTTGAATCGGTGGCATGCACTACCTTCTTCCCCCGAATACAACGTACGGTCATTATAGCTGTACCTAGACTGACAGATGCCTCAAATACAGCTATAATGACCGTATGTATTCGGGGGAAGAAGATAGCGCTGATGCTACCCATCACAGGAGAGCGAGCGTCCAGGGCACAGATCTCAGGCAAACTTGCCTGATCTGGGTGCTGGCAAGTTGTCATGTCAATACAGACAGTAGGGATCACTGCTATGCTCTCCAACACATGCGAAGTAAATTGATTAGCAACCTGAAGTACTGTGTGCGAGACCATAACTCCTAACTAACCAGGATTACAATACTCAAGTCCCACATTATAGCAGAAGATTCAATCGCATTTTGCACAGCTGGTGACTACTGGAGGGCATTCGTTTGGGGATTTTCCTCTTGTAGATGTGCATTTTGTAGATTTTGGTGTTCTTTTTTTTTGGTAGATTTTCCTTTTCTAGATCCCCCAGCACCCGACAGTTTCTTCACAGAACAGGCTGGCAGGGTCGAGACGCGAGCAGACAAGCTTCCTAAGAAGAACATCTTTGCCCACAGGACAAGACCCGCCAGAGGAATTTTGAGGTCCCATGGGGTGATTTCTTCTTTTTCTCACCAGAGCTCCGCCGACCCTGGCGACGCACTGAGCGCCCATGGGAAAATGTGTTCCTTTGAGAGTTCTTTGATGTCGGGGGCAGTAGTGGTTTAAGCCATCAGTACGCCCAAGCTTCTTTTTCTACTGCTGATTTCTATTGCGCGACAAGTTTTACCGAACCAGTGTGGGCACGGCATCACCTCTACATGGGGGTCCCCGTTAACCATTAGTGCAGCCTTTTCCGTTCCACAGCTAAGGACTGGAGGAAGTGGCACGTTAATTGCCCCACTGAGAAGCCTACTGGTGGCTTAAACCACAACTGTACGTGAGGCCTCTGTCACACTCCGGCAATTTTCCATCAAGTAGAAATTGAACCGGAAGCAGGCTAGTGTGGCTTTATTTATTTATTTAAAATTGGTCTGGGCACAACACTGCGGTAGGCATCAAGTGTGACCTAGTGCAGAAAGTGTGCAGTTCTGTAGCTTATGAGCGACAGGGAGGACACTAGAGAGGACGACAGGATCTTGCGATCGGCTAGACACCCGATAGCCCATGTAGCATTAGGACCCAAGGGTGATAGGTTACTGTTGCGCCAGCATAGGGAGAGACAGCAGCAGCAGCGGAGAGCTAGGGCAGCAGAGGCCAGCAGGGCGTTTGCAAGCGAAGTCGCTGCTTCAACAACCATGGCAACTGCTGTGCAGCAGAGTTCCCAGACCAGCAGTTCAGGGACCGTAGGGTCAACGATTGCGCAGACCCTGAGTCAGTCCGCTGGCGTTATGGCAAGCATGCGAATAGTGTTGACCCCTGAAGAGGTCGCCATACAGCAAGCAACACTTCAAGAGGCACAACTACAGAAGGCTTTAGGAGAGACAAAGGCAGAAAAAGAGAGAATGATCAGGAGAAGATCAAGGATGCAGCGGAGACAAGCAGATGTTAGTGAGTTAGAGGCGATGGACCTGACAAACATGGATGGTGATGTGAGGACCCTGCGTGCAGTCCTGCTAGATGTAGTGGAAATGCAGGACCATCAGATGGTTCTCTTACAGGACATCCAGCAGAGCCTGGCCGTGCTGGTCGGGCGAGCTCAGGCAGCACCATCACCATCAGGGCCTGGTACCTGGTTTGTGGTACAACCTCCTCCTTCCGTCCCACCGGTGGTATCCCATATGTCTCTCCAGCATCGGTCCAAGCGGCTTCCCTAGGTATGCCACTAACAGGAGGGTTCTCAGCAGGTCCTAGTGTGTGTATTCCCAGCCTCCGTAGCAGGTTGCCGTAACTGGGCAGCCTGCTGCCTCGCAGACAGCACAACCGCAGGGCACACAAACCCAACAACAGCTAGTGCAGCAACATGTGCCCCAAGGTCCACAACCCGGGATGGTGCAGGTACCGGGACAAACACAGTGGGTTCCAAAGACCGTCATCGCCTCACCTAAACCCTTTTTTTAAGGGACAAGAGGGGCGAAGATCTCGACACATGGTTGAGGTCGGTGCCGGTCAATGTTAAGTGCAAGTTAACCATGCCGCACGAGGAAGTGTTGGTGGCTGCCTCCTACTTAGAAGGGAGTGCAACAAGATGGTTAAGCGGGTTAGTGCAACTGCAGGGATACGGACACGACTTCCACGCTTGGGCAGCCAACCAGAAACTGGAAGACTTCCTCAAGATGGTGGCGGAAAGATGGCATGATCCTCGGGAGGCCCAAAAGGCCACTGATGCGATCCTAGCATTGAGCAACAAACCGTTCACGTCAGTGAGGGATGCCACAGACGCTGTAGAGCGTTTGATCTGTGTTCCTAGAGTATGCTATGACCCCCAAGTCTTGCTAACCACTTACCTGAGATATCTCCCTATGCCACTCAAGAATCAGTTGGCAGGCGAGGCAAACATCAATGTGCACAACTTCCCCTCGTTTAGCAAGGAGCCCCTAGACCTGGACGCAAAGATAGGGCATGGGCACCAACCCACTACGGATGGTAGGAAGAAAACACTGCCTCCCAACTGGAAGGCAAAGGGGCGCATAATGTTAGTCGACAACGATGGTTCCACCATCGAATTGGACGACGACTTCCATGAGGGAGTAGGTGCAGAGGCGGGCTGCGTACAAGCTTCAGGGGGTGGAGCGGTCGCTGCCTCAGTTCAAAAAGGCAAGGCGATCGGTAAACACCGCAAAGGCTCCCGGTCTAGGAGTCAAGTTGACCCCAACGCTCCGCCATGGGAGAAAGCGGGTCTCACAGAGGACGTGTGGAGAGACCGGTACACCAGGCAGGCCTGCATTTCTTGTGGTCAATATGGCAATAACCAGTTCAAGTGCCACAATAAGAAGGTCACGAAAAAGATCCCGCCTACGATGGGGCAAGCGTTGGGATCGTCCTCTCCCATAGGTAGCAATGTTGCCAGTGGTTCTCGAACTGCTCCGGGAAACACGTCGGGCCAGTAGGAATAGTGGTTGTTCCTGCTAGGGTCGAGGTGGTGGACACACCCTCACCATCTCGAGAGATGGCCCGAGCTATTGACTCCGGAGCCGTCCCGCAAACACATTCGGACCTGGCGATCCTCTGTTCGCTGAATGTGTTCGAGTCCTTAGAGGAGCTAGAGGAGGAGTGGTCTAGATCGGACCCGCTAGCTTCTTGGACGACCATGGCCAAAGCCCCTAAGGGTGAGTTGTTCGTCGGCGAGGTAGTCATCGGTGGCCGCAAGGCCGGGGCCTATTATAACACTTGCTGGACGCGGAATTTCATTAGTTGCGCATGCGTTGAGAGGTTGCGCTTACAGGGGCAAGTGCAGCGCCTGAGTCGACGTGTGGAGTCGACCTGTGCCAACAAACAGCGTCGGGGCCTATTATGACACTTGCTCGACGCGGAATTTCATTAGATGCGCGTGCGTTGAGAGGCTGCGCTTACAGGGGCACGTGCAGCGCCTGAGTCGACCTGTGGAGTCGACCTCTGCCAGCAAACAGCGCATGGTAGTCAATGACTACCTTAAAGACATTGAGTGTCTTTTTTCGTACGTGGGGGGGAAACTGAGACATTGAGTTTCGTTCCTAGTCGGCAATGACCTCCCTATGGATATCTTGTTAGGTAGTACTCGGTTGCACAGCCCTTGTTTGACTGGGACCGAAAAGTGGTCAAACACACTTTGCCTCGAGGGGGGACCGCCAGATTACGTTAGTTTAAGGCTAGTAGTCTGATCGAGTCCTACGTATGCATGTGTGCGGCCGCGTTCTATAATTATCATAAGCAAAATCCGGAGGAGGGTATGTATCTAGTTTATGTCTCTGCAGCACGCGAACCAGTGAAAATGCCGCCGGAGATAGAGGGAGTAGTCGCTAAATACCTTGATCTATTCGAAGAGCCAAAAGGGCTTGTTGATAGAGATTATCCCAGGGTCTAGCATTTCGCAGGGTAGGATCTATCGGATGTCTCCAGTGGAGCTTTATGAGCTTCGTCGACAGCTCAAGGAACTCATTGAGAAGGATTGGATCCGACCTAGTGTCTCCCCTTACGGATCGCCAATCTTATTTGTACCGAAGAAGGGGGGGACCTTGAGGATGTGCATTGATTATAGGGGCCTCAATGCCATCACTGTAAAGAACGCAAAGCCCCTACCGCGCAGCGAGGATTTGTTGGACCAAGTGCAAAGGTGTCGGTACTTCAGTAAGATAGATCTGAAGTCCGGGTACCATCAAATTCCAATATGACTTGAGGATCAATACAAAACCGCATTTCGGACCACGTATGGTCTGTACGAGTTTGTGGTGATGCCTTTCGGCCTTTGCAATGCTCCTGGCACCTTTCATCACGCCATGAACTAGATCTTTCATGACTACTTGGACAAGTTTGTCATCGTATACCTCGATGACATACTTATCTTCAGTAGGACTGTCGAGGAGCACGTTGGTCACTTAGACAAAGTCCTTAGCCTCCTTCGACAGCACCAGTTCAAGATCA